CACCATCACCATCACCTTCACCATCACCATCACCCATCACTCATCACCATCACCATCACCATCACAATCACCACCATCATCATCATCATCATCGTCATCATCGTCATCATCATCACTCATCAACATCACCTTCACCATCACACTCTTCCCCAAACATATCCTCACCACCATCATCATCATTGTCATCACCACCATCACCATCACCATCATCATCATCATCACCACCATTACCATTACCATTTCGATCACCATTACCATTACCATACCTCCACCATCACCACCACCTTTACCATCACCTTCACCATCACCATCACCATCACCACTCATCACTCATCACCATCACCATCACCATCACCATGATCGTCATCATCATCCTCATCATCATCATCATCATCATCATTATCATCATCATCATCATCATCATCATCATCACTCATCACTCTCACCATCACCATCACCATCATCACCATCATCCGTAGCCATTTTGGCTCAAGTCGTTGTGGCGCTTGGCGCAAGGCCGCTTCGCGTCGAGATTGCATCAGCGGGCGCATCCCTTGCCCTGCATCCAGCCACTGCCCAAGGCGCCTCGTGTCCGTAGCAAGTCGCGCGACCATGCCGGAGCTCATGGCGATCGTGAAGACCCCCAAGGAGGCGTTCCAGGGCATGATTGACAAAGGCGTGTCGATGGGCGGCGACGCGTCCATCAAGATCTTTCACCAGTCCTTCTACGCGGGTTGCTACATTGGCTTTGGTGGCATGCTGTCGATGGTGGTGGCTGGCGGTTTGGACAAGGCAGCAGAGGACAACCCGACCATCCAGACCTTTGTATTCGCTGCGCTCTTCCCTGTGAACCTGCTGCTCATCTTGCTCACAGGTGGGGTGCTGATCACAGGTACAGCTGCGACCGTGCCTGCGGCGGTGTGTGAAGGCAAGCTGCACTGGAAGCAGATCCCTAGGACGTTCGCGCTGGCTTGGATTGGCAATCTGCTTGGCGCCGTGCTCTTCGCTTTCTTTGTCGAGGCCTGTAACCTGAACGTGGGCTTGACTGCCAAGCTTGCGATGAAGGTGGCGGAAAAGAAGATCAAGGAGAATTTCTTCGTCACCTTCCTCAAGGGAATCGGCTGCAACTGGCTGGTGTGTATGGCCGTGTTCCTGCAGGGCCAAGCGCAGGACATGCCTGGCAAGATGGTGGGCATCTGGTTCCCCATCTCTTGCTTCGTGGCCATCGGCTTCGAGCATATCCCGGCCAACATGTTCATGATTCCCTTGGGGATGATAGCTGGCGCCGACGTGTCCGTGTGGGACTGCCTCTGGAGGAATTTCATCCCAGTGACCCTCGGGAACATCTTCGCAGGCTCGCTCTTCGTGGGCGTGGGCTACTCCTTCGCCCTCGGCAGGTTGGGCAGCTCCCCGATGTTCAACATGCCCGCGAGGGAGCTGGGTGCGCCAAAGGAGCAGAAGGCCGGCGGCGTCAACAACGAGCTTCCACCTGAGGCACAGGGCCTGTGATAGTGCAGTCTCGCTTTATTGCCGTCTGGCAGCTTGATCGTGTGTAGTTTTTTTTCGTCGGGGCTAGCCAGAGCGTCCCAACCAGTTTTTCAGAGCCTAGGATTTCGGCAGCTGGCAGACTTTCGGAATTTACATCGTCTTATCGACGGCGTCTGCTTCGATATGGATGCAGAAATCGAGTTCTCCATCCAGTGTGTAATCCTACTCGCGAGGATTCAAATGTGTTTACTCCTTCGGAGCGATAATCAAGGAATTTGTGGTAGCGGCCCCTATCGTCATGCTTACATTGTTGACGCTTTGCGTATCCCCACGAGCCCATCCAGAAACTATGCCCAGGGGAGTTGAGGTGATCAGGGAAGTGGGGGAACATGCAGAAGAACAAAGGGTGGGGAAAGCCGTCAAATACCCCAAGAGGAGGAGGATGGAGGAGGAGAAGGAGGAGGAGGAGGAGAAAGAGGAGGAGGGCGATGAGGAGGAAAGAGGAAGAGACAGTGGAAAAGGAGGAGGAGGACGAGGAGGAGGAGGATGAGGAGGAGAAGGAGAAGTAGCATCTTGGCGAGCCCAGGGGCTTCTTTGAGCGTCTTGGGTGCCTCGGAGATCCTCTTGAGGCCTCTTTGGGGCCTCTTGGGAGCCTCTTGGAGGCTTCTTGGACGCCTCTTGGGGCTGCCTGGGCGCCTCTTAGGGGCCCTCTTGGAGCGCTCTTGGAGCGCTCTTGGGCGCTCTTGGGGCCGTCTTGGGGCTCTCTTGGGTCTCTCCTGTGACCCTCTTGGGCCATCTTGGAACCATCTTGAGGCCTCGGATGGCCATCGGAAGTGGAAGCGAAAAGGCGAAAGCGCAAACACCATTGATTTGCCCTAGGTTTTGGACGGATTTTGGCATCTTCGGGGCCTCCTTGCGGAGCTCTTTTGCCACTTGGGAGCGGTGTTGGGGCCTCTTGGAGCATCTTGGGGGCCATCTGGAAGCATTTTGGGATATCTTGAGCTATCTTGAAGCTCATCTTGGGCTCTCCGAGGCGCTCTTGGAGCCATCTTGGGCCATCGGGGGACGCCCCAACCCATCGGGGGACCCCCCGTCCAGGTCCAGGGGAAGGGGTAGGGGGAGTGATCAAGCTACCCACCCGCCCGCAAGCCGTCTAGCTCACTTCCACCCGCCCTCCCAACACATAAGTAACACCCGAGCCTGAGTATGTTCAGCGGTCGTCTTTGGATGGACATCTACTGGGAACCGAAGCCGGCCCCAGGTGCGCGACGCTTGGGCGAGGTGCGCCACGCGTGCCAGGGGCGCCACGCGCGCCAGGCACCCCTGGGGCCCGAGCGTGCCAGGCACGCCTGGTGCGCCAGATGCGCCACGTGCTCCGAGTGCGCCAGGTGCCGCACACTCCAGCCGCGCCAGGTGCGCCATGTTCGGGGCACGTGCAGAGTGCGTCAGGTGCGCCTGCGCACGTGGCAGCACACATCGGGAACCATGTCGGCCCCCGCCATCCTTGTCGAAAATCAGTGCCCATCATTGTGTCTGGTGGGCCTGCGCTCAGCAGGCCACGCGCTACCACCCCCGCCGTCCCTGTCAAACACCATTTGACAGTGATCGCGGGATGGCCGCACATGATCCAGATTTAGCCGCGAGGTGCATGTTGTTATTGTCAGGGATTGTAGCCCTGCGCACGGAAGGGCATATGCTGGCCCCCCGCCGTCCCTGTCGAAAACAATGCGAAGTGTTCGCGGTCCTCACGAGCATGACTCAAAACTTTGCTCCAAAGTGTATTTTGAATTGTTTTTTGACAGGGATGGTGGGGGGGCCGCATCGGGTTGGCCGCGCATGCTCAAACTGTGGAGGCAGAGTGCGGTTTGTATAGTTTTTTGACAGGGATGGTGGGGGGCGTGCCCTCATGGTGTCGGCATGGTTCCATGTTGGACGCCAGCCGGGTGGGGGAGGGGATGTGTATTAATATGGAACAATGCAAAACCCTTCCCTGAAGGGGAAGAGGGGTAGATGGAAGACAAAACACCTTAGACCACCTACGCCCTAAAGGGCCGGTGGGATTCGCATGTCTTATCCAGTAGATGCCCGAGTGCCATCAGGTGCGAGTCAATCGAAGCTGTATTCCCGCGGCAGCCGCCGCATGCGCCGCCAGAGAGTAGGCGCTCTGGCGGGGATTGCTTGCATTGATCCGCCTGTGTGGATCACTGAGCGCCGTTGCATACAAAGTATGTAACCGTCGCATGTAATGGGCAGTCTGAAGCTATAGCTTGCTATGCGGCGCTCACGGCCCTGGATTTGCATCGTGTTGTCGTCGGCGTCCGCGGTGTCAGCGTCGTCATCTTCGCCGTTGGCGTCCGCGTCCGCGTCGGCGTCGTCGTCGTCGTCGTCGTCGGCGCTTGCATACTTGCCGGCGTCGCGGCGCCACGGCCCAGCCTCTCGCAGGGCCGACCTGCTGGACGGACAGGCGCAGTGTCCAGTGATGTGCGTCTCCCCTCCCAAAAAATACCATCACCACCACCACCACCACCACCATCATCATCATCATCATCATCATCATCATCATCATCATCATCATCATCACCACCGTCGTCATCATCATCATCATTGTCACCACCACCAACACTCATCACTCATCACTCATCACTCATCACCATCACCATCACCATCATCATCATCATCATCATCATCATCATCATCATCATCATACTAATCATCATCATATTACTCATCATCACCATCACCACCACCATCATCATACTAATCATCATCACCACCATCGTCATCATTGTCATCATCATCAGCATCATCATCACCATCACCATTACTATTACCATAATCATAACCATTATCATTACCATTACCGTCACCATCACCATCTCCATCACCACCACCTTCACCATCACCATCACCTTCACCATCACCATCACCCATCACTCATCACCATCACCATCACCATCACAATCACCACCATCATCATCATCATCGTCATCATCGTCATCATCATCACTCATCAACATCACCTTCACCATCACACTCTTCCCCAAAAATATCCTCACCACCATCATCATCATTGTCATCACCACCATCACCATCACCATCATCATCATCATCATCACCACCATTACCATTACCATTTCGATCACCATTACCATTACCATACCTCCACCATCACCACCACCTTTACCATCACCTTCACCATCACCATCACCATCACCACTCATCACTCATCACCATCACCATCACCATCACCATGATCATCATCATCATCCTCATCATCATCATCATCATCATCATCATCATCATCATCATCATCATTATCATCATCATCATCACTCATCACTCTCACCATCACCATCACCATCATCACCATCATCCGTAGCCATTTTGGCTCAAGTCGTTGTGGCGCTTGGCGCAAGGCCGCTTCGCGTCGAGATTGCATCAGCGGGCGCATCCCTTGCCCTGCATCCAGCCACTGCCCAAGGCGCCTCGTGTCCGCAGCAAGTCGCGCGACCATGCCGGAGCTCATGGCGATCGTGAAGACCCCCAAGGAGGCGTTCCAGGGCATGATTGACAAAGGCGTGTCGATGGGCGGCGACGCGTCCATCAAGATCTTTCACCAGTCCTTCTACGCGGGTTGCTACATTGGCTTTGGTGGCATGCTGTCGATGGTGGTGGCTGGCGGTTTGGACAAGGCAGCAGAGGACAACCCGACCATCCAGACCTTTGTATTCGCTGCGCTCTTCCCTGTGAACCTGCTGCTCATCTTGCTCACAGGTGGGGTGCTGATCACAGGTACAGCTGCGACCGTGCCTGCGGCGGTGTGTGAAGGCAAGCTGCACTGGAAGCAGATCCCTAGGACGTTCGCGCTGGCTTGGATTGGCAATCTGCTTGGCGCCGTGCTCTTCGCTTTCTTTGTCGAGGCCTGTAACCTGAACGTGGGCTTGACTGCCAAGCTTGCGATGAAGGTGGCGGAAAAGAAGATCAAGGAGAATTTCTTCGTCACCTTCCTCAAGGGAATCGGCTGCAACTGGCTGGTGTGTATGGCCGTGTTCCTGCAGGGCCAAGCGCAGGACATGCCTGGCAAGATGGTGGGCATCTGGTTCCCCATCTCTTGCTTCGTGGCCATCGGCTTCGAGCATATCCCGGCCAACATGTTCATGATTCCCTTGGGGATGATAGCTGGCGCCGACGTGTCCGTGTGGGACTGCCTCTGGAGGAATTTCATCCCAGTGACCCTCGGGAACATCTTCGCAGGCTCGCTCTTCGTGGGCGTGGGCTACTCCTTCGCCCTCGGCAGGTTGGGCAGCTCCCCGATGTTCAACATGCCCGCGAGGGAGCTGGGTGCGCCAAAGGAGCAGAAGGCCGGCGGCGTCAACAACGAGCTTCCACCTGAGGCACAGGGCCTGTGATAGTGCAGTCTCGCTTTATTGCCGTCTGGCAGCTTGATCGTGTGTAGTTTTTTTTCGTCGGGGCTAGCCAGAGCGTCCCAACCAGTTTTTCAGAGCCTAGGATTTCGGCAGCTGGCAGACTTTCGGAATTTACATCGTCTTATCGACGGCGTCTGCTTCGATATGGATGCAGAAATCGAGTTCTCCATCCAGTGTGTAATCCTACTCGCGAGGATTCAACTCCTTCGGAGCGATAATCAAGGAATTTGTGGTAGCGGCCCCTATCGTCATGCTTACATTGTTGACGCTTTGCGTATCCCCACGAGCCCATCCAGAAACTATGCCCAGGGGAGTTGAGGTGATCAGGGAAGTGGGGGAACATGCAGAAGAACAAAGGGTGGGGAAAGTCGTCAAATACCCCAAGAGGAGGAGGATGGAGGAGGAGAAGGAGGAGGAGGAGGAGAAAGAGGAGGAGGGCGATGAGGAGGAAAGAGGAAGAGACAGTGGAAAAGGAGGAGGAGGACGAGGAGGAGGAGGATGAGGAGGAGAAGGAGAAGTAGCATCTTGGCGAGCCCAGGGGCTTCTTTGAGCGTCTTGGGTGCCTCGGAGATCCTCTTGAGGCCTCTTTGGGGCCTCTTGGGAGCCTCTTGGAGGCTTCTTGGACGCCTCTTGGGGCTGCCTGGGCGCCTCTTAGGGGCCCTCTTGGAGCGCTCTTGGAGCGCTCTTGGGCGCTCTTGGGGCCGTCTTGGGGCTCTCTTGGGTCTCTCCTGTGACCCTCTTGGGCCATCTTGGAACCATCTTGAGGCCTCGGATGGCCATCGGAAGTGGAAGCGAAAAGGCGAAAGCGCAAACACCATTGATTTGCCCTAGGTTTTGGACGGATTTTGGCATCTTCGGGGCCTCCTTGCGGAGCTCTTTTGCCACTTGGGAGCGGTGTTGGGGCCTCTTGGAGCATCTTGGGGGCCATCTGGAAGCATTTTGGGATATCTTGAGCTATCTTGAAGCTCATCTTGGGCTCTCCGAGGCGCTCTTGGAGCCATCTTGGGCCATCGGGGGACGCCCCAACCCATCGGGGGACCCCCCGTCCAGGTCCAGGGGAAGGGGTAGGGGGAGTGATCAAGCTACCCACCCGCCCGCAAGCCGTCTAGCTCACTTCCACCCGCCCTCCCAACACATAAGTAACACCCGAGCCTGAGTATGTTCAGCGGTCGTCTTTGGATGGACATCTACTGGGAACCGAAGCCGGCCCCAGGTGCGCGACGCTTGGGCGAGGTGCGCCACGCGTGCCAGGGGCGCCACGCGCGCCAGGCACCCCTGGGGCCCGAGCGTGCCAGGCACGCCTGGTGCGCCAGATGCGCCACGTGCTCCGAGTGCGCCAGGTGCCGCACACTCCAGCCGCGCCAGGTGCGCCATGTTCGGGGCACGTGCAGAGTGCGTCAGGTGCGCCTGCGCACGTGGCAGCACACATCGGGAACCATGTCGGCCCCCGCCATCCTTGTCGAAAACCAGTGCCCATCATTGTGTCTGGTGGGCCTGCGCTCAGCAGGCCACGCGCTACCACCCCCGCCGTCCCTGTCAAACACCATTTGACAGTGATCGCGGGATGGCCGCACATGATCCAGATTTAGCCGCGAGGTGCATGTTGTTATTGTCAGGGATTGTAGCCCTGCGCACGGAAGGGCATATGCTGGCCCCCCGCCGTCCCTGTCGAAAACAATGCGAAGTGTTCGCGGTCCTCACGAGCATGACTCAAAACTTTGCTCCAAAGTGTATTTTGAATTGTTTTTTGACAGGGATGGTGGGGGGGCCGCATCGGGTTGGCCGCGCATGCTCAAACTGTGGAGGCAGAGTGCGGTTTGTATAGTTTTTTGACAGGGATGGTGGGGGGCGTGCCCTCATGGTGTCGGCATGGTTCCATGTTGGACGCCAGCCGGGTGGGGGAGGGGATGTGTATTAATATGGAACAGTGATAAACCCTTCCCTGAAGGGGAAGAGGGGTAGATGGAAGACAAAACACCTTAGACCACCTACGCCCTAAAGGGCTGGTGGGATTCGCATGTCTTATCCAGTAGATGCCCGAGTGCCATCAGGTGCGAGTCAATCGAAGCTGTATTCCCGCGGCAGCCGCCGCATGCGTCGCCAGAGAGTAAGCGCTCTGGCGGGGATTGCTTGCATTGATCCGCCTGTGTGGATCACTGAGCGCCGTTGCATACAAAGTATGTAACCGTCGCATCTAATGGGCAGTCTGAAGCTATAGCCTGCTATGCGGCGCTCACGGCCCTGGATTTGTATCGTGTCGTCGTCGGCGTCCGCGGCGTCGGCGTCGTAATCTTCGCCGTTGGCGTCCGCGTCGGCGTCGGCGTCGTCGTCGTCGGCGCTTGCATACTTGCCGGCGTCGCGGCGCCACGGCCCAGCCCCTCGCAGGGCCGACCTGCTGGACGGACAGGCGCAGTGTCCAGTGATGTGCGTCTCCCCTTCCCAAATACCATCACCACCATCATCATCATCACCACCACCGTCATCCTCCTCCTCATCATCATCATCATCATTGTCACCACCACCATCACTCATCACTCATCACTCATCACTCATCACCATCACCATCACCATCACCATCACCATCACCATCATCATCATCATCATCATCATCATCATCATCATCATCATCATACTAATCATCATCATACTACTCATCATCATCACCATCAGCACCACCATCATCATACTAATCATCATCATCACCACCATCATCATCATTGTCATCACCACCATCATCATCATCATCACCATTACCATTACTATTACCATACACATAACCATTACCATTACCATTACCATCACCTTCACCATCACCACCACCTTCACCATCACCATCACCTTCACCATCACCATCACCATCACCCATCACTCATCACCATCACCATCACCATCTCCATCACCATCACCATCATCATCATCATCGTCATCATCGTCATCATCATCACTCATCAATCTCACCTTCACCATCACAGTCCCCCCCAAAGATACCATCACCACCATCATCATCATTGTCATCACCACCATCACCATCATCATCATCATCATCATCATCATTATCATCATCATCATCATCACCATTACCATTACCATTACGATCACCATTACCAGTACCATCACCTCCACCATCACCACCACCTTTTCCATCACCGTCACCATCACCATCACCATCACCATCACCATCACCATCACCATCACCATCACTCATCACTCATCACTCATCACTCATCTTCAGCACCATCACCATCACCATCATCATCACCATCATCATCATCATCATCATCATCATCATCATCACTCATCACTCTCACCATCACCATCACCAACACCACCACCATCATCCGTAGCCATTTTGGCTCAAGTCGTTGTGGCGCTTGGCGCAAGGCCGCTTCGCGTCGAGATTGCATCAGCGGGCGCATCCCTTGCCCTGCATCCAGCCACTGCCCAAGGCGCCTCGTGTCCGCAGCAAGTCGCGCGACCATGCCGGAGCTCATGGCGATCGTGAAGACCCCCAAGGAGGCGTTCCAGGGCATGATTGACAAAGGCGTGTCCATGGGCGGCGACGCGTCCATCAAGATCTTTCACCAGTCCTTCTACGCGGGTTGCTACATTGGCTTCGGTGGCATGCTGTCGATGGTGGTGGCTGGCGGTTTGGACAAGGCAGCAGAGGACAACCCGACCATCCAGACCTTTGTATTCGCTGCGCTCTTCCCTGTGAACCTGCTGCTCATCTTGCTCACAGGTGGGGTGCTGATCACAGGTACAGCTGCGACCGTGCCTGCGGCGGTGTGTGAAGGCAAGCTGCACTGGAAGCAGATTCCTAGGACGTTCGCGCTGGCTTGGATTGGCAATCTGCTTGGCGCCGTGCTCTTCGCTTTCTTTGTCGAGGCCTGTAACCTGAACGTGGGCTTGACTGCCAAGCTTGCGATGAAGGTTGCGGAAAAGAAGATCAAGGAGAATTTCTTCGTCACCTTCCTGAAGGGAATCGGCTGCAACTGGCTGGTGTGTATGGCCGTGTTCCTGCAGGGCCAAGCGCAGGACATGCCTGGCAAGATGGTGGGCATCTGGTTCCCCATCTCTTGCTTCGTGGCCATCGGCTTCGAGCATATCCCGGCCAACATGTTCATGATTCCCTTGGGGATGACAGCCGGCGCCGACGTGTCCGTGTGGGACTGCCTCTGGAGGAACTTCATCCCAGTGACCCTCGGGAACATCTTCGCAGGCTCGCTCTTCGTGGGCGTGGGCTACTCCTTCGCCCTCGGCAGGTTGGGCAGCTCCCCGATGTTCAACATGCCCGCGAGGGAGCTGGGTGCGCCAAAGGAGCAGAAGGCTGGCGGCGACAACAACGAGCCTCCACCTGAGGCACAGGGCCTGTGATAGCGCAGTCCTGCTTTATTGCCGTCTGGCAGTTTGATCGTGTGTAGTTATGTTTCTTCGGGGCTAGCCAGAGCGTCCCAACCAGTTTGTCAGAGCCTGGGATTTCGGCAGCTGACAGACTTTCGGAATTTACATCGTCTTATCGACGGCGTCTGCTTCGATATGAATGCAGAAACCGAGTTCTCCATCCAGTGGGTAAGCCCACTGTCGCGAGGATTCAAAGGTGTTCACTCCTTCGGAGCGAGACTCAAGGAATTTGTGGTAGTGGCCCCTATCGTCATACTTACATTGTTGACGCTTCGCGTATCCCCACCAGCCCATGCAGAAACGATGCCCAGGGGAGTTGAGGTGATCAGGGACGTGGGGGAGCATGCAGAAGAACAAAGGGGTGGGGAAAGTTGTCCGATACCCCAAGAGGAGGAGGAGGATGGTGGATGAGAAGGAGGAGGAGGAGAAGGAAGAGGAGGGCGATGGTGAGGAAGGAGGAAGAGACAGTGGAAAAGGAGGAGGAGGACGAGGAGGAGGAGGAAGAGGAGGAGAAGGAGCATCTTGGCAAGCCCAGGGGCTTCTTTGAGTGTCTTGTGTGCCTCGGATATCCTCTTGAGGCCTCCTGGGGGCCTCTTGGGAGCCTCTGGGAGGCCTCTGGGCGCCTCTTGGGGTTGCCTGGGCGCCTCTTGGGGCTCTCCTGGGGCGTCCTTGGGAGCTTTAGGGGCACGCTTGGGGCCATCTTAGATGACATCGACCAAACAAGATGGGGTCCTCAATTCCCGTCCCCCCCCTGGGAGCCCCAAACATCGCCTCTTGGGGCGCTCTTGGGGCGCTCTTGGAGCGCTCTTGGGCGCTCTTGGGGCCGTCTTGGGGCTCTCCTGGGGCCCTCTCGGGCCATCTTGGAGCCATCTTGAGGCCTCGGATGGCCATCGGAAGCGGAGGCGAAAAGGCGAGGAAGCAAGCACCATTGATTTTCTTTAGGTTTCGGAAGGATTTTTGCCTCTTCGGGGCCTCCTTGGGGAGCTCTTTGGCCACTTGGAGCCGTCTTGGAGCGGTCTTGGGGCCTCTTGGAGGATCTTGGGAGCCATCTGGAAGCATTTTGGGATTTCTTGAGCCATCTTGAAGCTTCTCTTGGGCTCGCCGAGGCGCTCTTGGAGCCATCTTGGGCCATCTTGGACGCCCCAACCCCTCGGGGAACCGCCCGTCCAGGTCCAGAGGACGGGATAGGGGGAATGGTAAAACCCTCCCCGAAGGGGAAGAGGGGCAGATGGAAGTCAAAACACTCTAGACCACCTACGCCCTAAAGGGCTGGTGGGATTCGCATGTCTCATCCAGTAGATGCCCGAGTGCCATCCGGTGCGAGTCAATCGAATCTGTATTCCCGCGGCAGCCGCCACAGGCGTCACCAGAGAGTACGCGCTCTGGCGGGGATTGCTTGTATGGATCCGCCTGTGTGGATCACTGAGCGCCGTTGCATAGAAAGTATGTAACCGTCGCATGCAATGGGCAGTCTGAAGCTATAGCCTGCTTTGCGGCGCTGACGACCATGGATTTGCATCGTGTCGTCGTCGGCGTCCGCGGCGTCGGCGTCGTCATTTTCGCCGTCGGCGTCCGCGTCGGCGTCGTCGTCGGCGGCGTCGGCGGCGTCGGCGTCGGCGTCGGCGTCGGCGTCGTCGTCGTCGTCGTCATCGTCGGCGCTTGCACACTTGCCGTCGTCGCGGCGCCACGGCCCAGCCCCTCGCAGGGCCGACCTGCTGGACGGACAGGCGCAGTGTCCAGTGATGTGCGTCTCCCCTCCCCCAGAATACAATCACCACCACCATCACCATTGTCATCAATACCATCATCATCACCACCATCACCATCACCATTACCACCATCATCATCATCATCATCATCATCATCACCATCCCCATTACCATTACCATTACTATCACCATTACCATCACCTTCACAATCACAATCACCATCATCACCATCATCATTACCATCCCCATTACCATTACCATTTTTCCCATTACCATTACCGTTACCATTACCATTACCATTATCAATACCGTTACCATTACCATTACCATTACCATTACCATTACCATTACCATGACCATGACCATGACCATTACCATTACCATTGCCATCACTATTATCATTACCATTACCATTACCATTACCATTACCATTACCATTACCATTACCATTACCATTACCATTACCATTACCATTACCATTACCATTACCATTACCATTACCATTACCATTACCATTACCATTACCATTACCATTACCATTACCATTACCATTACCATTACCATTACCATTACCATTACCATTACCATTACCATTACCATTACCATTACCATTACCATTACCATTACCATTACCATTACCATTACCATTACCATTACCATTACCATTACCATTACCATTACCATTACCATTACCATTACCATTACCATTACCATTACCATTACCATTACCATTACCATTACCATTACCATTACCATTACCATTACCATTACCATTACCATTACCATTACCATTACCATTACCATTACCATTACCATTACCATTACCATTACCATTACCATTACCATTACCATTACCATTACCATTACCATTACCATTACCATTACCATTACCATTACCATTACCATTACCATTACCATTACCATTACCATTACCATTACCATTACCATTACCATTACCATTACCATTACCATTACCATTACCATTACCATTACCATTACCATTACCCATTACCATTACCATTACCATTACCATTACCATTACCATTACCATTACCATTACCATTACCATTACCATTACCATTACCATTACCATTACCATTACCATTACCATTACCATTACCATTACCATTACCATTACCTACCATTACCATTACCATTACCATTACCCGCCACCATTACCATTACCATTACCATTACCATTACCACTACCACTACCATTACCATTACCATTACCATTACCATTACCATTACCATTACCATTACCATTACCATTACCATTACCATTACCATTACCATTACCATTACCATTACCACCATTACCACCATTACCACTACCATTACCACTACCACTACCACTACCACTACCACTACTACACTACCACTACCACTACCACTACCACTACCACTACCACTACCACTACCACCACTACCACTACCACTACCACTACCACTACCACTACCACTACCACTACCACTACCACTACCACTACCACTACCACTACCATACCATTACCACTACCACTACCACTACCATTACCATTACCATTACCATTACCATTACCATTTCCATTACCATTACCACTAGCATTAGCATTAGCATTAGCATTAGCATTAGCATTCGCATTAGCATTAGCGTTAGCATTAGCATTAGCATTAGCATTAGCATTAGCATTAGCATTAGCATTAGCATTAGCATTAGCATTACCATCACCATTACCGTTACCGTTGCCATTACCATCACCATCACCATCACCATCACCATCACCATTACCATTACCATTACCATTACCATTACCATTACCATTACCATTACCATTACCATTACCATTACCATTACCATTACCATTACCATTACCATTACCATTACCATTACCATTACCATTACCATTACCATTACCATTACCATTACCATTACCATTACCATTACCATTACCATTACCATTACCATTACCATTACCATTACCATTACCATTACCATTACCATTTTCATTATCATTACCACTACCATTAGCATTAGCATTAGCATCAGCATCAGCATTAGCATTAGCATTAGCATCTTGCTAGCTCCGGCCTTGGGCAGGGTCGGGCTGAGCTCGCAGGGCTGACGGGGGGCCGGGAGGGGACTCGCGCCGATCGCCTGCGCAGCACGGAGGCGCGAGTGCTTGCATCCCCCCCCTTCTCCGCGCAACGCCACGCGCGAACATTTTGTTTAGAACTGTGTTCAGAACTGTGTTCAGACATAGAAGTGTGTTCAGACTGTTCAGACATAGAACGGGGTTTTCCCGTCGCGGGAGTTCTGCCTGACACGCTGCAATTTCAACCGATCCCGGCTGGGGCAATGCCGAGACTTGAAGAATTAGATAGATCACTGCAGGCGGCTGTCGCCCGGCGTGACCATTTTTCAAGGGCTCTGCTGAGCAGGCCGCGGCGGGAGCCTGGAACCGAAGGGGTGCGTCAGCGAACTTTCGAGGAGGCGAGCGCCGGAAAGATGGCGGGCCCCTGGGAGGTGTTTCTGAATGACCGGGGAGGCATCGAATCCTCGGTCTCGTTTGAAGACTGGTTGCCGACGCAGCGTTTCCCGCGCGTTCAGCAGCGGCCAGGAACGAGCTATGCAGTTCGGCCCGTAGACGGCTGCACGGCTTCTGGGCTGAATCCAGCAGCGGCCGTCGTAGAGAAAATGCGGGTCGCGAGACTTCCGGTGCTTATGGAAGTCTGCAGTTATACAGCACGCGAATTCAGAGAATGGGGCGAAGATGGGTCCCCCATGGTGGCGAAAGGCGATCATAAGAAAGCCTATCGCCAATGGGCCGTGAGGCCGGACCACCAGCGGTACCTCGTGGCCCTGGTGTGGAGCGACGATGTAGGACCGAACGGAGGGTTCCACGCGTTTGTACATAAAGCACTCCCGTTCGGGGCCCTGGCAGCGGTTTGGGGCTGTGGACGCGTGGCTGGCAGCGTGTGCCACATCCTGCAGCGTCTTTTCTCGTTTCCACAGTCGGCCTATGTGGGCGACTTCATGCGGGGGTCCCCCCGCCGCTGGGCAGCGTTGCTCCAGTGGATTTTCAAGGACGTGCACTGCATGTAAGGCATCCCTCTGAAGGATGGAAAGAACCAAGGGCCAGCCGCGCGATTGGAAGTCCTCGGCGTGGAGATAGCAGCAACGTCGCAGTGGGCTGCGCTGCGCCTCACGGACGCGAGGCGCGAGACCCTGCAGGCAACAGTAGACGGTGCTCTCCGTGCGCGCGCGTTCAGTACTAGGGGCGCTCAGCGGCTTGGCGGACAACTAGGTTTTGCGAGCGCGGGCCTCTTTGGGCGCGTGGGGCGCGCGTGCGCGCCAATCGTGTCTTACCGCAGGGGCGGGTGGAGCCCGGCCCTGCGGCGCGCCCTGGAATGGTGGAGCGCACTCCTGCAGTTCCCGCGCCACCATTATCGAGAGCATGCCTGCGATCACCGGCGCGCGATGGCTTGGGTGGGCGGGTCGTGGGACATGGCTGACGCCACGGGTGCCGTAGGTGCCGTACTTTTCGTGCGCGGCAGGGGGCAGTGGAGCATGTCTGCCCGCGCCCCGCAAGCGCTCTGCAGCGAATTATCGCAGTGCGGGAAAGAGCAGCGTAACACGCAGTCTGAGCTCTGGGCAAGCCTGATGCTGCTCTTATCGAAACCAGAGGGACTGCGCGGGACATTCCTTGAGATCTGGGAAGATAGCGCTGCGGCGTTGTACAATGCACTCGCTGGCTCGGCGGCCGACGACCAGAGTGGGGGGCTCGTGGCGGCGATCTGGCTGATAGCGGCCGCGCTGCGCCTCAGCATCTGGATTGGCTGCGTGCCATCGCCGTCCAATTGCGCAGACCCTTTCTCGCGCCCCAACGAAGCCCCCAAGCAGAGGGGGGCTGCCCAGCTGTCGCGCGAATTTAAACTCGTGCAGGCAGACCCCGTCTTGCCGGCCAGCGCGCGCACCGCGCCCGCGACTTGGGCGGCCGCAGTGCAAGCGGCGCGGGCGCCCGGCCAATTTAAGGAGCGGGCGGCCCAAGCGCGGTTGGCTGCGCAGCTTGGCGTCGCCGCCGTGGGCAGCAGCGCTGTGCAGGCTCTCCTCGAACGAGTTAGTTTCGCCGCGCAAAACGCCGAGGTCGCCCTCGGGTGGGTGGAGTTGCGACGCAAGGGAATCGTCGGCGCAGCAACCGCCCACCACGCGGATTTAACGCGCGTCTTGTGCGAAGCGTTTCGCCAGCAATGCCCGGGCCAACGGTGCGCGACAATCGTGCTCGCGGCAGGGGGCGCTCCCGCATTGCCCAAGGGGGCGGCGCGCAGCAAGGCAGCGCTGCGGGCAGGAGACGTAACCGCCGCTTTCTGGGAAGTGTCTGGCGCGGCGACACCAAGCGCCAGGGGCGAAGCTGCGTTGGCGAAATGCGGATCACCCGTGTGGTAGAAGGAAAATAGCGATGGAAAAGTATGCGCCATCATCGCTGTCTCCGCCCAACGGAAGCGAATCTGGCAGCCAGGTGGTCAGCGCCGAGCCCACGGGCTGGGGGGGGTGGCGGATCTCGCCGCCGCGTCTGGGCGTAAGCTGGCCGCGCAACCCTCGCGTAAGCCGACCGCGCTCTGGTCGGGGCCCCCTGCTGTCCTGTCGGCGCTGAACTTGGGGTAGCTAAAGCGTCGCGGGCGCCGACCAACAAGGTCGGGAAAAGGGCGCCATGGGGCTCCCGCGTTCCACCGGGCCGTCGTGCTCTCGGTGTTTCCCGAACCGTCCCGATTGGCAGCTGGCGTGAGCTGCGGTCCCGGATGATGATGCCGCCGAGACTTGGCCCCTGGACACCCTTCGGCTTTCTGGATGTGGTGCCGGTGGAAGCGCGCGAAAGCACCATGTCCCCGAACTGCGAGCGCCGACCATAAGTATCGCAGGCCAATGGTGTCGGAAAGGTTCGCTCGCTCCCCTCGCCGGGCCGAATGAGGTCGTCGGGCAAGGGCGATATGCGGCGCCCATCTTCCACAGGGCCTCGGGTGTTCTGGCAACGCCGCTCCCGCCCCCCCCCCCCCCCCGTCAGAGGGAAACTTGCTCATCGGGGGCCCGAGGTGACGGCGCGGCCGAGCGTTGCGGCGGGGGGGGGCCTCTGGTAGGCCGCCAAGAAAATCGGGGCTTGCGCAGGTGGAAGACGCGCGAAGGCTGGGTATCTTTTAGAAATATGCGAGCGCCGACCAAAGGTGTCGCCGGCCAATGGTGTCGGAAAGGTTCGCTCGCTGCCCTCGACGGCGCGGCCGAGCTTTTTTGGGGGGGCCTCTGGTAGGCCGCCTGGACAAATCGGGGGTTGCGTAGGTGGAAGACGCGCGAAGGCTCGATATCTCAAAAGGAAAATGCGAGCGCCGACCATAAGTGTCGCCGGCCAATGGCGTCGGAAAGGTTCGCTCGCTCCCCTCGCCGGGCCGAAAGAGGTCGTCGGGCAGGGGAGATGATTGGCGGCCCCCACCTCCCGCTTTGCTGGTGACCAGTCCGCCCCGATCGGCAGTCCTCGGCGGAGCTGTGGCGCGAGGCAACCGTCGTGACCTGCGGGAGGTGAGCGAAGGCAGAACATCTACCACCGCCAGTGCCAAAAGTCACGGGCAAAACACGTGGAGAGAACCAAACAAGCGAACGGAAGCATCAGGCGGTGGCGCGCGACCGGGGGGGCCCAACTAGTGGCGGGCCCGGTCACGCAAACTGATGGCATCGACCGGGCCCGCCGCTGGGCTCGCCCGCGCTCGTGCGGCAACACCCCGTGCTTTGGTCGCAAAAGCGTGACGCGCGCTGGGAGGGGGCCCGGCCCCTCTCGTCGGTCTTGCTAGCTCCGGCCTTGGGCAGGGTCGGGCTGAGCTCGCAGGGCTGACGGGGGGCCGGGAGGGGACTCGCGCCGATCGCCCGCGCAGCGCGGAGGCGCGAGTGTTCGCCCCCCCCCCCCCCCCCCCCCCCTTCTCCGCGCAACGCCACGCGCGAATATTTTGGTTCTCCCAGCCCGCCCACCCAAACAAGGGGAGGGAAATTCTGGGAGTGCGAGCACGGCCGCGCGCGCCCAGGACGCCTGCGCGCGAAGCTCGCGCCGACTCGCCCTTGCTGAACAAGTCGGCGTCGGCGCGATGCTCGCGGCGGGAAGGCGCGGGCCGCCGAGGTGGGCGGCCCGCCGCGCGGACGTTGCCCGCGCGTGCGCGCGCCGCGCCGCGCCCTGCCGCGGCGGCGGCGGCGCGCATCCGACATGGGAAATCATTGACGAAGAAAGAAACAAATGCCGCTCGGGTAGGTGAGGGGCGCCCAAGAGCGCGAAGCCTCCCTGCCCGAGGCGCAGAATGATTTAGAACGCGGGCGGCCCGCGCGCCGCTCCGATTGCGGCGAAGGCCACTGCCTTCTGCGGGCTCGGGGCATCGACCGGGCCCGCCGCTGGGCTCGCCCGCGCTCGTGCGGCACCGCCCCATGCTTTGGTCGCAAAAGCGTGACGCGCGCGGGGAGCGGGGCCGGCCCCTCTCGTCGGTTAGCATTAGCCTTAGCATTAGCGTTAGCATTAGCATTAGCATTAGCGTTAGCGCTAGCGTTAGCATTAGCATTAACATTAGCGTTAGCATTATCATTAGCATTAGCATTCGCATTCGCATTAGCATTCGCATTAGCATTAACACTACCATTACCATTACCATTACCATTACCGTTACCGTTGCAATTACCATTACCATTACCATTACCATCACCTTCACCTTCACCTTTACCTTCACCAACACCACCTTCGCTACCGTCGCTCATCAAAAAACGCCATCACCATCATCATCATTCTGCTCCTCCTAATCCTTATTTTCGTTACCATCATGAGTATTATCATTTTCTCATCACCATCACTCATCACAAGTATTATCATACTTATTATCATCATCATCATCATCATCATCATCATCATCACCATCACCAGCAACACCCCCACGCACACTCACATACATACGCACTCACGCACTCCGCGCGGACTTCTTGGTTCCGCGCTCTGCAGCGGAGGCCAGTCCACAAAAAACTTTCCACAAGAAGCCCAGCCCTGAGACCCCAGGGCGTCCATCGATTTTTGGCGTGGGATTGTCACGCCTTCCACGGGAAAACCAACGGCATAAACACAAACTTTCGGAGCAACCGCGTGGACTTCTTGGATCTGCGCTGGGCCCCCCGGTGGCGCCTCCAGCGCCGCCCCTGGCGCGCTCCGTGCGCCATGGAAGGGGGGTCCAGCGCAGGTCCAAGAAATCCGCGCGGAACGCCAGAAAATTATGTTCGTGGCGTTTCTCGTTCTTCTTCTAGTTATGTATGGGTCTCGTGGCCCTGCAGATTCTCTCAACGGCGCCTCTGTGACAGCTGAGGCCACCGAGGGCCTCTGCGGGCTCACGGCAAATCGTCGGTGCCAGGGGGGAGCGCGCGTTGAGGTCAGGATGCACGACCCTTCAGAGCGGCGATGCTTCCCACAGCACTGTTAAGGCGTCCTGGACCACTACCGAGCAACCATTTTCAACCTCAACCACTGATCCGAAATCCATTGGGTGAAAGCGAGAGCCCCGCCCATCTCCCCTGTGCACAGTCGATCCCGAAAGTATGAGTTTGAATGCATTGTCACCGCCGGTCCCTCAACCCCTCAACCATACACCGACATTTCCAAATTGGAGTCGGCGAGTCAAGTGCAAGGCGCAGACAGCTCGCATGCCAGTGTGGAACTGCAGCAACATGTAGAAACATGTATTAGACATGTTGTTTATTGCATCTAACATGTTGAGGTTTGTGCTAATCGCGTTTGCGCCAGTCAGTTCCGCAATTCAGTAAGCGGAGATCAATTCGCGAAGGTCTCTTCGAGTCGTTTTGTCGTGTTGTCTTAATGCTTTTTCGGAATTGTTTGAAGCACTATCTCCGCCCAGCGAATGGACGATGGAGTCTCATAGTAACTCAATGTTGTGGGGCACCTATGTTATACTTGTCATCGCCATGCGTAGCCGTTTGGCACAGGCTGCTCAGAGCCGATTGCCACACAACATGCCTGCCCGTGATGACGACCTCTATGGACTTCTTGGAGTAAGCAGAGCGGCGACCGACGCTGACATTCGTAAGGCGTACCTGCAAGCTGCATTAAGATGGCACCCAGACAAGAATCCAGACGAGCAAGAGCGGGCGGAAGACATGTTCAAAAGGCTAGCTCGAGCATACCATGTTCTGTCGAGCGCGAGGTTGAGAGCTGCCTACGATCAGTCTGGCTTGACGGGTCTCGGAGCGGAAGCGTGGTCCACCGATCCAGGCTCGAGCATGGACATGGCATTTGATTATCCGTAAAGGCTTCGCCCTCTGCCACGGGCCCCCTCTCTACCAGACCTGGGTGTGCCAGAGCTCTGTTGGGATGCCTGGGCGCCGTCTCGAAGCGATGGCAGAACCTCACGCGAGGACGGCAGGCAATCGAGACGTCCATCGTGCTTGCTTCTTTGCTCGTAAGCAGCGGGCAAGCACATGTTTCGTCATGAAATTTTCAGATTCATAGTGTGCTTGATAGTCGCCCCCCCCCTCTCCACCCATGGAGAAGGTCTTGGCTATTTTTGGCGTCCGTTTCAGGCAGGTGGAGCCTCCTCCATATGGCGCACTGCCGCAAACAGTCGCATTAAGCAGAGGTCCGGAGCCAGCCCCCCCCTTCCCCCCTCTTCCGCCCAATGTCGAAACGCCGAAGCAGAAAACGCTCAGGAAGACAATGAGCGAGCCCACAGAGCGGGAGTGACGGCGGGCTCCCCAGAGGGGAAAATCCGCACGCCAAAGGCGGAAAAGGCCAAACACATAGAGAAGCTTTTGATCTTGGAGGATTGTGGTTTCTTGGGGGCCTCATTGGGAGGCTCTGCGGCCACACGGAGCCGACCGGAGTCTTTCTTGGCGTCGTGGCGCCATCTGGGCACATGTTGGAGACGTTTGGGGCCGTTTGGAGGCAATGGTGGTGACAGCTGGGCTCGTCCTGAGCCGTACTGGAGCCTGGGGGGCGCGCACCTGGCGCGATTTACAAGGGATCGTGGCATCGGGGGCGCGAATCTGGCATGATTGCGAGGGATCGTCGCTTCGAGGACGCGAATCTGTTGTAATCTGAAGGAGGAGAACCCCGGGAGGAGAAGGTCGAAGGATGATTTTGTGCCCCCCCCCTCGCGCGGACAGTAACAAGTTGGTTGAAGTATAACATGGGAGACTGGGAACTCGAACTGCTAGAGGGTGCAGTAAAGCCTCCGCCCCGCAGCTTGGTGGCTCCCAAAGGGGGCCGGCGGATTACGTACAGTTTTTCATTCGATCAGGGCTTCATTGGTACTATCAGTCGCCTGAGGGAATGTCACCAACAAAGGGCTTTAGTGAAGCTAAGCTCAGGGAGCTGTTTCCAGAGCTATTTGGAAAGCAAGCGGGTGAGCGCCGCCACATTAATGGCCCTGCGACGGGAGAAGCCCATGCTGCAGAAGCGTCGCGTTCAGATCGTGCTGAGCCGCACGCCACCTCTGCCAGTGAGAATGCTCCCAAAAGCCGCATATGAGTCATGTGAACAATCAAGGAGGTTTTGATTATTGTGAATGTCACCGTGAATAGAGGCCATAGCCATACCAACAGTATTCTGAGCGAGTGCGCCCTGCCGCGATTTGCGGACGTGCGATTTTTCTCTCCAGGCGCAGTTTCGTCTCAGCATTTTTCTGCTTATCTTTCTTTCCTGACGCTTTGTCTGCTGCCGTTTGGTCCCCTGCGTTCGCAGCATGGCTAGTTGATCGCGGCCATCCTCGTCGCCTGAAAGCGCTCCTTGCCATGGGGGAATCAAGTCCGCGTCTTGTCGGCTTCGGCGCAGTGCGCGTTGTGTATAGAACAAGCAACACGTCCCAGCATTTGCTTCAGACATTCAATGTTCGATAGGTGAGGCTGGTTGGTCCTCTAATCAAGCAAGCCATGACGCGACACAGCCTATTCGTCGGGGCTGTCTTCTCATCCGGGGCTACAGGGTCACGGAGGCCCGATTGGGCATTTCATCGAGATCTTCCATGAGCCACTCATGCTCGTAGCCTCCTTGAGTCGCATTCCAATTGGCTCACATGAGCTCCCAAAAGCCATGCCACATGCGTGAGTGTATTCGCCATCGTCAGTTTTCGTGACAATCATCGATGGTGAATCTGACCCGACCGTTGCTTCTGAGCTGAAGACGAAGCCCCCAAGGGGTCTGTCTGTAGCAGCCCTAGGTCGCCCGCAGCGGTGCGAAGAGAATCGCGCTCCGCGCATCGCGGTCCGGGCTAGAGCGGGTGCCCTTCTCCGCGGGGGCGGCGCGAGGGCGCGAGGGCGCGAAGATACTCGCGCGCCGCGCAGCGGAGCGCGCGAATTTAGGTGATCTAGCCAAGTGGCTCGTCTGGTTTCCGAACCTTCATGCGAGAGGATATTCAGAAGGTGTAACCAGATTCGCTCACCGGCCAGATGACGAGGTGGTCCACAAGCCACAACTTCGTTCTCTCTCTCTCTTGTTTTATCTCTTTCTCTCTCTTTCTCTCTCTCTCTCTCGTTCTCTCTTCTCCTCTCTTTCTCTCTCTCTCTCTCTTTCTCCCTTGCTTTCTCACAGCACATATCTATAGTCACATATGTATACATCTAGATGTATGTGCGTATGTGTGCGTATATGTATATACATACACGTACCTGAAACCCGGCTCTGTGCCCCCCAGGGCCGCAGCAAATCAGGGGTACCTGATATACGTAGTCCCCCCTCCACCCCCCCTGGCCTTCCCGGTGCCTCCCAGGGGCCTCCAAGCCCAGAGCTTCCAGGTAGGTTCCAAACAGGTCCCAGACGGGCCAACATGGCCTCCGGACAGCCCTGAGGCTCCCAAGACGCCCCAAGACGGCTCCAAGGAGGACTCTGAAGAGGGCCCGAAGAGGCAGAGGCGCCCCATCCCTTTAGGAAGACCGCACATTTCTAGCCCACTCGTTATTTTTATGTGCGCAGCGTCCAAGACGGCCCCAGAGGCTCTCAGGCGAGCTCCAAAACGGCCCAAGAGGTCCCCCAGAGGGTCCGTAGCCATTTTGGCTCAAGCCATCTTGGCAAAGCTCAAGCAGTTCGCAAGCAGGCGTGGCTGGTTCTCCGCTTCCCCCCGTGGCGGCTTGCCGAGACCATGATCCGCCTCTTGCTCGCGCGCTGCGTGCACTTCCAGGAGAGGAGAGGAGGCAGGCCAAGTCTCAGCTGTTCATCTCGAGCTGGGCCAACGACGCAGACCTCCTCACTGCCTTCGCCTTTGCTTTCGACAAGGACACGTGGCTGACTGGTGAGAAGAAGAACCCGCTGCCGGATTGGCTGGTGGGCGTCATCTGGGGCTGCCTGGGGCTCTCCTGCCTGTGCTACTGGCTCGTCGCCCTGGACGGCATCGGCATGAGAAAATGTTGCATCGCTCGCTGCAAGTGCAGAATCGGTGGGATCCTGATGTTCGACGTACTGGCTGATGACGTTGTACAGATTGTACTATTATGTCTCGCCAGCGTCCTTGAGGCCAGCGGTACTTTCACTTTCAACGGTAGCTTGGGAACGGCTGCTGCCATGAACCTCACCGCGGCGTTTTTTTTCAGTATCCTCATCAAGCTGGCAGAGGCTTACGAGGAGATGAACGAGAGGGTCTATGACCTGACGTCGAAGGCTTTGAGTTTTGAAAACACGCACATGGGCAACGAAGAGTTGGCAAGCCTCGCGGCGGCGCTCGCAGTCAACCAGGAGGTGGAGCAGCTTGATCTAAGCCGTAACTATATCACCGAGTTGTCCCCGCTGCGCGACGTGCTCGCCAAGAACAAGACGCTGAAGAAATTGTTTTTGTATTACAACTTCCACCTGTGGAGCATCGCGCCCCTCGTGGAGGGGCTGATCCGAGCGGGGACCGCGAGCCGCCTGGAAGTTCTCGACCTCGCGCGTTGTGGCCTCGGCGAGTTCGAAGTGCACCTCCTGGGGCATATGCTGGCCAAGAACTGCAGCCTGAAAGTTTTAGACCTGAGAATGAACGACCACATCGCCAGCCTCGAGCCCCTTCATGACGGGCTGAAGAATAGCAGCCTGGCAAAAGCTCGGGGAGACCCCCGTCGAGCGAGCCCGTCTCGGACGCGTCGCAGAGGGCGAGAAAAAAAAAGAGGTCCCCCAGAGGGCTCCAAGACGGCCCACAGCCAAGACGGCCCAAGAGGCACCCAGGACCGCCCAAGACGGCCCTAAAAAGGCTCCAAGAGGGGCCTTGGCGGGGGGGGAATTCGAGCCCACATTTCGAGGCCTCCGCCTCAATTGGACCCCGAAGATCGCCGTCAGGCCCCGGAGAACCCCCCCGAAGAGGTCCCGAAAGGCCACCAGGAGCCCCAAGGGAGGACTGAAGAGACGTTAAAGCCGCCTCCGCGAGGCTGCCCAGAGGCTTCCCCGGAGACCTGGGCAGGCGCTCAAGAGGTCCGACACCGACAACCCGGGCACGGTGACAGGATGGGCAGAACACCACCCAAACACACGCGGACGAGGGGCACGGTGGCTCCTCCTCTCCTCACATTCCGGGGCCTCGAGCCCGAGAGGACCGAGGAGACCGCCCGCAGGCCCCCGAGAGGATTCTCAAGGGCCCCCAAAGATCCAAGAAGGGCCCCAAAGAGTCCCCCGAGCGGTCCACCAAGGGCGTCAACATGGTCTCCAAGAAATTGCCCAGAGGCTTCCCGAGTGACCGACCCCGATAGGCGTTGAGGAGGTCTCTGGCCAACATCCCAGGCACGGCGGCAGGATGAGCCGCAGGCCACTAGGAGGTGCACACGTGGACGACGGGCACTGTGGCCCCTTCTCTCTTTGTCCTCCTTTTTGCTGTGCTTCCTCGGAGGCGCGCGCGCGAAGCGCGCGCGGTGGTTCTAGTATATATGTATTATATACATATATGTATATATATAATAATAATAATGATAATAATAAGCCCTTTGTGAATTTTGGTGTGTGTATATTGGGGCGGGGCTAGGACGATGATGAATCCGTTCCGTAGCGTTCCGGAACGCTCTCGAAGCGTTCCGGAACGCTCTGAGAAGGCCGCGGCGCCCGAAACATTTTCTAGAGCCGCCAGATCTCAGAGACCCTCGATTTGTCCGTACCCGATCTAATCCTCGCCCTAGCTTCGTCCGAATTGATACACATGCCCCTTTTTGGTGTGTGCATCTACGCATGTGTGTGTGTGTATGTGTGTGTGTGTGTGTGTGTAGGACCCCCGTCTTTATAAGGCCGCGTGCCCGCAGACTCCGCACACCCTCCCCCTTTCACCGCTTACCGAGCAGCTGGCGAAGAGCGTGACCTTCAG